TGTGTGTGTGTGTGTGTGTGTGTATAATATATACATATATATGAGGGTCCTGGTGTGGCGCTGTGGGTTAATGCACTGGACTATAAGGTCAGTGGTTCAAGTTCACCAGCAGCTCCTTGAAAACCCTATGCAGGATCACTATGAGTCAGAAGTTAACAACAACAGCATATATGAGGTTGTTGTTGTTGTTGTTGGGAAGTGCTGTCTAGTCGGTGCCGACCCATAGCAACCCTGTATAGGGTTTACGAGGAGCAGCTGGTGAGTTTGAACCGCCGACCTTACAATTCAATTCAAACAGTTTTGCAGTCTGGCGCATTAACCCACAGCACCACACCAGGACTCCATATATGAGGTAAGTATTGGTATTGGATAATCAATGATTTTCAAATGAGGCTTTAGATCATCATTAGGAGTCCTGGTGTGGTGCTAGACTGCAAGGTAAGTTTGAACCACAAGGTGGCAGTTCAAACCCACCAGCCAGAGTCAGAGCCCACTTTTAACGACATTTAACAACAACAACATATCATTCTCATAACTATGCAAAACTTCAATTAATGGGGCACTCACAGCCAACCAAGACTTCCCTTTCCAATTCTAGGCTAGGGTATTGCCTGTTAAAATGCAAATGCCCCTGTGATGGCATGACACATTGCTCTGCCAGGTCTTCTCATCTAAAGTATGAATCAGCTAGTTCAATCCCATTCTTCCTATCTGTTCAACTGAGCCCAGGACCCAAAGAGAGACAAGCTACTTGAAGGGAATCAGGCTCATTTTGGAACAGGCAATAAATAGGTTTGGGCAAAGGGGGAGAAAGTGTTGGAGGACACTAGACAACGAGGGATCACCAAGGGTGCTGCGCATCTGTCATCAGAAGAGTACGTCAAGGACAAATTAGGACAGCAGCAAATACTACAAGTTCCTCATCATTCTGAATCACATCCTCACCCATACATGTGACCAGGGAAGTGAGACCTACTCCAAACAGCAGTGTCATCAGAGCCAATGAGACAGCCTGGCACCAAAATGCACTGGCCAGGACTGACCCAGGCAGTGAGGACAGCCAGGGCTCCTGGCACCATCCCACCCCGTCTCCAGGACCGGCAAGTGTCATACAGGCAGACAAGCAGGGCAGCTATGGCCTTTAGTTTTTATTGTTTTCCACATGGGCAGTAGAGGATGGCGTCATCCCACCATGCTCCCCTTGCATTGAATGTGCCTCAGGTTTGAGTGACCCCAGAGTGTCACTGAATCCTCCTCTCCTCGCCCCCCAGTGTAGGAAGAGCAGGGAGGAAACGCTGGGGGGGGGGGGGGGGGAGCGGAGCAGCTCTCTGAGTCAGATTCAGCACCCCCTCAGACAGCAGAACAGAGGCAGACAAAGACAGACAGGCTGGAACACAGACTACACATACACACACAGGCTGACCTCTTCCTTTGGCATGGTTCACCCTAGCCCCAGGGATGGGGTCTGAGGGTGATGAGATGAGGCCTGAGCTCAGGGCTGGCCTTTGAGGTGGGACCAGCTTGAATTCTTGGTACCCGCCCCAAGCTTCCAGACCAAGGAGCCCCGTCTCCTACCTATCCTGGACAGACAGCCCTTCACCTTAGAGACTGAGGTTGTTCAAGTAACAAGGATAGAGGAGATTGTTTTTCCCAACTAGGAGCCCATGAAAAGGGTTCCAAGTCCTGGGCCTGGGTCATCTCAGCACGGATTTCTCCCCTTTCCCTCAACTCTGCAGATTAAAGAGGGTGGGAGGCGGTGAGCCCAGCATTGCCATAGGGAGTGGGGACAAGAAGCTGAGCACCATCATCCTCAAAGGGGGCTTTGCAAGGAGCACTAGCTGTTTGGTTTGTTTTTTAAGTTATCAGCATTGTCGTGAAATACTGGTTCTGCTAGGGAGATCTTTTCCTGCTCGCCCCCTCAAACTTGCCAGTTTGTCGGACAGTACCTGCTGCCCTAAGCTGGCACTGTAGCCATCCTGATCCAGCTGCTTCAGCTTCCCAGGTCCTGAATCCCAGTCCCAGGAAGAAAAAGGGGTGACCAGACCCCAGTCACTTAGTTGGTCTTGCTCAGTCCATAGTCTTCTACTGGCTCCCGGCTCTCAACAGCAGACAGGGCGATGAGCATCTGGGCAGCGTAGTAGGTGGACATGATGAGTGCCCGGGAGTAGGGCACAGGGAAACAGAACTTGTCAAGGGCGATGGTCATGTCTGAGACGATAAAGAGCAAAGCGCCACTGCCAGCTGCCAGCTCGGTCCAGCGCCAGGCTGCCCCAACCAGCCGCAGTCCTGCTACAGCCCGCCAGCCCATGAAGCTGATGAGGGCCACGTAGCCCCCCACCAGGTAGGTGAAGGCACCTGAGAGGCCCGGATAGAGTAGGGCATAGCACAGGGCCGACAGCACGGCCATCACCAGTCCTGTCCGCAGGGCCAATGGCCTCATGCCAAAGGCTGAGGCGTAGAGCATGTGGGTCACAGCAAACATCAGCAGACCTGGGAGTGAGAATGGATGCTGAGGGCAGGTTCAGTGAGTAACTAGACTAGAGGTAAGGGGAGGTGCTTGAAACAACCTAGGAGCTTTGTAGGGAGTAACAGGGTAGAAGGAGACCCACCAAGGTAAAGACAGTTGCCCCCCTACATAACCCTCAGGAACGCCAGAACTGATCACCAGATGACCGAAAAGTCATCCCCTGCTGGAGGCCCCTGTAGTCCATAACCTCAGGAATCTCCAGATTCCCCACCTTCTGATTCAGAAGCTTCTTCCAGCAAAGCCTTGGACCCTGCCAACCAGGTCCCTTGTTGTTGTTGTTATGTGCCGTGGAGTCGGTTCCGACTCATAGCGACCTTACACAGGGTTTCCAAGGCTGTAAATCTTTATGGGAGCAGAAAGCCTCATCTTTCACCCAGGTCCCTAAAGCCTCCAACCCCAGGATGAGCCCTCCCAGACAGGCTACTGTGGTTACTGACCGTGCACAAAGTAGCCCTGATCCTGCCAGATGAGGAAGGCATCGCCCACAGCAGAGAAGATGAGCCCCACAAAGATGCGGGTAGCACTGGGGTGGGCCAACAGGAATCCCAAGCCATGGGCCAGAAGGAAGAGCCAGAGGCAGAAGATGGGCAGGCACTTGACGAGAGCGCTGACCCAGCACGGGCTAGATGAGGGCAGCCAGAGCACAAAATACACACAGGTAGCCTTGAAGAAGGGTACTAACTTGGGTCCTTCACTCTTCACCTAGAAGACACAGAAGAGGGCAACATTCAGGACTGGGCATTCCCATAGAGGCTCAGAGCCAGCAACCTCAACTCAGACACAGACCCACCCCACAAACAAGGAGGTTTGATATGATGTGGAGAAGCCCAGTATGGCCTGTCCCACCAGTCAATAGGGTGTAGACAAGCCCATCCTCACCGTGAGGCTCAATTTATTGGAAGGGCTCCACTGTTCCTGCTACTCTGACCATTCTTGGCCCTGAGGCAGAACTGGAATGGTCACTCACTGAACAGCAGAGCTTAGGATAATGTCCCTTTTCACAACCCCATGACTCTCCCTCTGCAAGGGCCCTTCAGTCCTCCCTCCCCCTCCCCACACCACACACACACACACACATACCACCACCACCACCACCACCACCACCACCACCACCCCAGCATCAGTCCACAGCTGTCCAGAGTAGAGTGGAGTCAGTGGGAAACCACAGAGATGCCAAGGCTGGCCAACTCGTGATCCTCAGCAGTGAGGCCAGGGCACAGGCTTACTGTCCTGGCAACACCAGGTGAATGCCAGGAATGTGTGAGGATGGGCACTACCAACCACCTCTGCCCCCAAGGCTCTCTCCCCTGCTCACCAGTTGGCTCCTGATCTTCTATGCCCTGTCTCAACCCAAAGGTATCAGGGATAGGGATACTGGCTAGAGAAATGGACCGATGACTTGAGGTCAAGAAAACTGTCCCTGAAACACTAGAGATTTCAGATTGGGGGTAGGAGGGCAGTCAGTTGCAAACACAGCAATTCAAGGCACAACAGACATGAGAAGCAGGAAAGGGGGAGGGATTCTCTTTCCAGCTTCTGAAAAGGAGCCAGCAGACAGGCTGGGGGGAGATAGGGAACTGGGAAAGAGAAGTTAGAGCAGCTGATTCAGGTTCAACCGGATTGAGGGCAGTTAAAGGCAGTGTCTAAAACCACTACAGATATTCTCCAAACTGGAGGCAGGGGCTGCTGCAGGACATTCTCACAAGGAGGAGAAAATTTGTAATCCCCTAAAGCTGCTTTCTAGAGCCTGAGTTGGAAAATGGGGTCCCCTCCACACCTATACTCTGCCCAAAGTGATTGTGCCTCTGTCTGGATGAGCTGTCCAGCTAGGGCCCTGGGTGCACACTCAGACTCACAGACCACCAGATTCTTGGTGATTAACCAGACTATGATGAGGGAGTTGGGAAGAGGTAAGTGGGTGGGTCTAAGGTCCACGGCTGCCCTTGCGATTCCAGAGGAGAGAGCAGGGAGAAGAGATAACCAAATCCCTTTCAATGGAGATTCCCCACTCAAGGCTGGCCAGGGCCAGTGAAGGGGTCAGGGAGAAAGGGACCTGACGGATTGCACAGCTGCAGATCTCCCCAACAGCCACCTGCCTGTGCTTGGAAGCATCAAGGTGCGCTCCATCCCCCTTCCCTCAGGGCCATTATTTCCTAGAAGGAGAAACAGGTAGTAACTGGGGAGACCCTGACAAGCACAGAGAACCCAGCATTGGAAGAAAACAGTGAGACAAAGGTTCAACTTGGGAAAGTCTGAAAACGTAGAGGTGTCAACAGAAAACGCCACCTCTTCCCCCGAGAGCGTAACCAAACGCAGCGGCTCTGCTCAGCCCTGTTTGGATCCAGGGTTGTCCCCACTCCCGCCCCCAACATGCTTATAAGATGGGAAAGGGGAAGGAACTACTTTGGAACGGATTCCCAGAAGGCCCCTGTCCCCTTCCCTGTCTCAAGCAAGGGCCGCTGTGGTCCACTGCTGCCGCCCCTCCCTCTCCTCGACCGTGACCCCGCCGACTCGGGCCAGACACTCGGAGATCAACAAAGTCACGCTTCCGAGTCACGTGCCCACTGTTTTCCTCTCTCCCGCGGGAGGGCGGGGGGCGAGCAGAGGAGGGGCGCCTTGGGTCAGCTGAGGCCGAGCCCAGATAGCGCCCGACTCCGGCCCCGGGCCGCCGGCTGCTGTGGGACCCTGCTTCTGCTCGGCCCCCAGCGGCTCGCTATACCGCAGCCCAGTCCCCAGGCCGGTGGGCTCCGACTGCGCTGAACACTGGCTCGCTCACTCACCACAGTGACCGGGGACACCATGGCGGCGGCGGCAGCTGACAACCGGCTCCCGGCTGCAGCGGCCCGGACGTGCCCACGGCCAGGTGAGGAGGCGACTACGTAACAAAGCCCGAGGTGATGGACAATGCCTCCCGCGCGCCCGGCGCTCGGGGATCTGTCTGAGAAACCTGTGACGTCACCGCAGCCACGGCCAATGCGCGAGCTGGAGTCCCGGGGGGCGGGGCCCAGCAGGCGACGCCAAACAAGCCTCCTGCGGCTTCAGCGAGGAGAAATGATGCTTCTCCCAGGGGTGGGGCGGGGCCTGCAGCCACGCCCCCAGGGAGGCCGTGCTAAAATATCCAGGAACGTGACCGTGACCCCAGGCTCTGAGCTTGGACCAGGTTTGGCTGAGAGACAAATACATTCCTGACCTGGCTACACATGGCTACACATATTCTCATAATCCTGGAACAAAAGGCAAACAGAGTCCCTGAGCCTTTCATCATGCGGTCTACACGGACACAGTTGAAATTAGACCCCAAACCTTCACTGTGTACAAACACACATCCAGTTGGGCACCCAATGGTCAGCAGACACACAACCTTCAACTTGAAAAGAGACACCTGTATATAGGTATATATTCAGCAACCTGTACAACCGTCATCCTAACACATGCGCAAACAGAATCATAACTACCCTTGGACACTGAACAAATTAACAGAGAAACCACAGCTGAACAGTCTTCACCCTAAATTCAGATACATATACATAGGCAAGCATACAGAAACCCACAGACTTATTAACAATTGCATATAAACAAACACAAGTGTGCAACTGCAGTTAGGCACACACTTCTCACAACTCAGGAACACAACCACACACCCAGGAACACACCAGAAATGACAGGCAAGCAGACCTGTACAGACTTAAAGAACTAAAGGAATGTGAACTTTGTCAAAAATCTATCTTACATGGGTTTTTTCTTCTTTAAAAAAACAAAAAAACACATTTTATTGTGAATTGAATGAAGATTTACAGAACAGATCATTAGTCCCACAATCAACAAATCATACACTTTGTGTCTTTACAATGATTACAATCCCTCCATGAACCATTGATTAACAGTACTGACCTCTATTCACTTCAACTCTTGCACTCCTCCCTGTCTTCCACTCCTTCATCTTTCCTATGCCAACTCCCTCTTGTGGTATATTGCCTTCCTCATCACCCAAGTTAACATGTGTCTACCCATGGGATAAGCACAGAACAGTTCTCTGCTCCTGCAAAGATTAAAAAGTCTTGGAAACCCTATACAGGTTCACTATGAGCAGAATGGACTCAATGGCACTTAACAACAACAACGCTCTTTGTCCCATCCTTCCCACCCCTCCCCTGGTAACCATTATAGCATGTTTCTTTTAGCAAGAAAACCTTTTTAAAAAAAAAAAAAACAAAAAAAAACCTTTTTACAACAGTGTTCTCATATAATATTTGTCCTTTTGTGATTAATTTCACTCAGCATAATGTCCACCAAGTTCATCCATGTTATGAGTTGTTTCCGCAGATTCATCATCATTCTTCCATATTGTGTACTATTCCATTGTGTGTATGTATCAAAGTTTGTGTAATCATCCTTATGTGGATGGGCAGTTAGGCTGTCTCCATCCTTTTGCTATTGCGAGTAGTACTGTAATGTACATGGGTGAACATATATATCTATTCATGTCCCAACTTTCAATTCTTGAGGATATATACCAAGTAGAGGGATTGCTAGGTCATATGGTATTTCTATTCCCAACTTTTTGAAGAAGCACCATAACATTTTCGACAATGTTGTACTGTATTACATTCTCAACAGCAGTGTAGGAGGATCCCGGTCTATCAGTAATTTTGCTAGCATTTGTTGTTTACTGTTTTTGTTTGTAACTTCATTATCATGCTGGGGCAAAGTGATATCTCATTGTTGTTTTGATTTACATCTCTCTAATGGCTAATGATTTTGACCATTTCTTCATATGTTCATTGGCAGCCTGAATGTTTTCTTTAGTGATGTATTATCTGTTCATGTCCTCTGCCCATTTTTAAATTGGATTATTTGTCTTCTTACTGAGATGTTGAAGTGTTCTATAAATCTCAAAAAGTAGTCTCTTGTCATATGTCATGGCCAAAAATTTTTTCCCATTCTGTGACTTCTCATTTTACTCTTTTGGTCACATATTTTGATGCAAGTAAATGTCTGATTTTTAGGAGGTCCCAGTCACCTGTTTTGTCTTCTGCTGTTTGTGTGTTTTCAGTTATGTTTGATAGTGTATTTATGGCATGTGTCAAAACTTCTGAGTTTGTCCATATTTTTTACTGATAATCTTTATAGTTCTAGGTTTCACATTTAGATCTTTAATCCACATTGAGTTCATTTTTGTGTATGGTGTGAGATATGGGTCTTGTTTCATTCTTCTGCAAATGGATTTAGTTTTGCCAACACCGTTTGTTGAACAGACTTTCTCTTCCCCATTTAATGTGTTTTGACCCTTTGTCAAAGATCAGCTGACTGTACATGGATGGATTTACTTCCAGGTTCTCAATTCTGTTTTATTGATCTACGTATCTTTTGTTGTACAAGTACCACTCTATTTTGACCACTATGACTGTGTAGTAGATTTTGAGATTGGGAAGTCAGAGTCCTCCTATATTGTTCTTCTTTTTTTTTTTTCCCAGTAATGCTTTGCTTATCTGAGATCTCGTCCCTTTCTATATAAAGCTAGTGAATAGTTTTTTCATCTCTTTAAAGAATACTATAGGAATCTGGATCAGCATTGCATTGTATCTATAGATTGCTTTGGGTAGTATTGACATTTTCACAATGTTAAGTCTTTATACAATGAGCATGGAATATTTTTCCATTTTTTTGTAGGTCTCTTTTGGTTTCTTGTTGTAGTGTTAAGTAACTTACCTTGTTTCTTCTTTTGTTTCTCTGGTTAGATTTATTCTTTAGTATTTCATCTTTTGGGTGGCTATTGTAAATGGTATTGTATTCTTGATTTCCTTTTCAGAGCTCTCTTGATTAGTGTAAAAGAATGTAACTGATTTTGGGATGTTGATCTTTAACTATACCATTTTGCTGAAACTTTCAATGATTTCCAAAACTTTCTTGTGTTTTGGGGATTTTCTATGTATAGAATCATATCTGCAAATAGAGTTTTATGACTTCTTTACCAATTTGGATGTCTTTATTTCCCTTTCTTGTCTTACAGCTCTAGTTAAGACTTCCAGCAAAATACTAAATAGGAGTGGTGATAAAGGGCATCTTTGTCTGGATCCTTTTTGCAAGGTGACAATGAATAAGGATGAACATAGATGAATCGATGAATTTGAGTTATGGTGTTAGAGAAGAATACTGAAAGGACTTCCAGAAGAACAAACAAATCTGTGCTGGAAGAAGTACAGCCAGAATGCTCCTTAGAAGTCAGGATGGCAAGACTTCACCTCTCATACTTTGGACATGGTTTCAGGAGGGGACCAGTCCCTGGAGAAGGAATCATGTTTGGTAAAGTGGATGGTCAGAAAAAAAAGAGGAAGACCCATCTACCCAATGAGATGGGATAGCACAGTGGGAGGAGCAATGGGCTCAAACATAACAGCAATGTAAGCATGGTGCAGGACTGGGCAATGTTTTGTTCTGTTGTTCATAGAATCACTGTGAGTCAGAACAAACTTGATGGCACCTAACAATAACAACTCTGGTTTCTTCATGTGAGCTATAGTTGTCTTGTCGCTGAGACATTGTGTTGTCATTGTCTTTGTATTTAATTGCTGATTGTATCTTGGTGTGTCCTTAGGCTCTCACCAAGAGAGTTTCCTGGAAGCATATGTACTGCTTTCCATTCATCATTTCCACAGCTTAATTTAGCATGAATTTGGTTGGTGTTGGCTAGTGTCTATCATTGATCGTGGTATAGGAGCTCCATCCAGTCAATAGAGCTGCAGAGGGTAGGATGTAGTTGAGCTGTATGGGCACAGTTGCTGTCTCCTGTCAGGTGAGGCAAGAGAAGAAAGGAAAACAAACCAGAACAAACAAGCAAGCAAACAGTGACAACAGAATATAAGAACGGAGATAAAAGAAACTAAAAACATATAGCAACAAGAAAAAAAGAATATAATAAGTAAAAAGAGAAAGCATTTGGAAAATAGAGCTGTACCAAGAAAAGTAAGAGAAAATATAAAGAGAACTGGAAAAAAAAAAAACTAAACACTAAAAGAATTCAAGATGAAAAGTGAAAGAGACTAGAGAGTAGTAAAGAAAACTTAAGAGGAAAATAGAAGACAGTGGAAATAAGAAATAGAGCAAAGAAGGAAAATAATGAGGGGGAGATTGTTGTTGTTAGGTGCTGTTGAGACAGTACTGACTCATAATGACTCATAATGCACAACAGAATGAAACACTGCCCAGTCCTGCACCAACCTCGCAATCGTTGCTATGTTTTTGACCCACTACTGCTGCCATTGTGCCCATCCATCTCATTTGGGGGTCTTCTCTTTTTTGCTGATCCTCCACTTTACCAAGCATGCTGTCCTTTTCAAGAGTCTGGTCCCTCCTGATAATACATCCAATGTATGAGAGATGAAGTCTGGCCACTCTGGCTTCTAAGGAGCATTTTGGCTATACTTATTCCAACACAGATTTGTGTGTTCTTTTGGCAGTCCATGGTACTTTTAATATTATCTTCCAACACCGTAATCCCAATGCATCAATTTTTCTATTGTCTTCTTTATTCATTGTCCAACTTTCATATACATATGAGGGCACTGAAAATACCATGACTTGGGTCAGGCACACCTTAGTCATCAAACTTACATCTTTGCTCTTCAACACTTTTTAAAGATCTTGTGCAGCAGAATTGCCTAATGCAATACGTCATTTGATTTCTTGACTGCTACTTCCATGAGTATTGATGGTTGATCCAAGAAGAATGAAGTCCTTGGCAACTTCAATCTTTTCTCTATTGGTAAGAATGTTATTTACTGGTCCAATGGTGAGGATTTTT